AATTAGAGATAATTATTTGCATTACTCATTACTATTTTCCATGATGAGTTCTTCAGGCTGCTATCACGTCTTATTCATCTCTGTAGGAGTTAACGCATACATAACTTGGCAAAGTGTAAGCCCTTGATATATGGAGCTATTATTTTGTTGTGTATATTTTTAGTGCCTCCACAAATGTATACTACAGATTTCATTTTTAATTGGTTTTGCTTGAACTAGTGAATTCCTCATAGCACATACCTGAATGACTTGTATATCATCCAAACCCTGGCTGAAATAGTAGTGTCACATTGCTTACCTACACTTCTGTGAATCCTAAAAGTTTCTCATCTTCCCTGGTGTTAGATTACCATATTGCTCCTTGTTTTTATATCTTCATTTAATTTGTTCATTCCTTAGAGAAACATTTATTGAACACTATTTGAACTATAGAGTTTACTAGGCACTGGGAACATAGAAGTAGATGCAATGAAAATTATTCCTGCTCTCATGTAACTTAAGAATCTAGCAGAAAACAAAAACATTAAACAAAAGGTTATATAATTAGAACTTGACACCTGCAATGTAGGAAAACAAGAGGATATCAGGAATGATTATTTAAAAAAGACTAATTTCCTCAGATGAGTTAAGAAATACTTCGTTGAGGAAGTGATATTTAAGTTGATATCCAAAGATAAGATGAGAATTACATAAAAAAAGGAGATTCAGAAAATGGGGGAGAAAAAAGAAAGAAAATGGGGGAGAATTTCAGACAAGGAGAACTAAACTCCGAAAAATAGATTCTGAGTGAGAAGAAGACAGTAGGCTTTATAGAACCAAGTTGTGTTCAATAATAAATATGACTTACTTTGCTGGGGCTTTTATGTATATATAATCATGCATGATATTAATGAAACAGTCAGGATGGAGCATTGAAGGTCACAGAGTTTAAAAGCAAAATTATTTCATAAAACTTTTGTTTAGTCAGGAGTTTTTATAGTCATATGTTTTTATCACATTTATCATGCTTAGTTGTGATCTCCCCAAGCAAAGAATCATGAAGAAATGCATCCATTTCCCATGAGCACTCTGAGAGATGAAGAGAATAGATCTTATAGCCTAGTATTTCAGTGTTACCCTACCACTATGCATACACATCATGATAAAGATGTATCTATCAGTTTTTAAATTTAAATCCTAAAATTGAAAAATCAATCAATCAATCAATCAATCCTAAAATTGAGTGCTAAGTTCTTCCCCACAGAACTGTTTTGTTGAAGCTATAACCACTGTTTTCTGGTATAAAACTCATTTAATTGAACAATAAATAGAGTCTTCTCCTTTTCCAGGCCCAGGGAGGCATGTATGATCCCACCCTGGGTCATGGGACCTACCTGTTTCTTCTCAGTCTACATGGAAAGAAGTTTTAAAAGAGCTTATTCAATCGTGATCTTCCCTCTTAAAGCATCAGTCAGTACCTTACCTCCAACCCAATGCTTTATTTTTCTTTGGGCAAATTGAGGCACTCACATCTCCTAATTCAGAGCTTGTGAAGACAAAATATGTGATTAATAGGTCTGGGAGGTTAGTGATGATCCTGGTGAGTAAAGACATGATAGTTCCAAGATTTGGTGTCTGCAAAAGTTCTTTTGCTATGTATATAGAGAAATCATTCTGTGGTCACAGAATGAACTGCTAACCTTCATTGGCCACCTTATAAATGTGGACCTATGGTCATAAGATTGCACAACAGAAAAATCATTGATAGTGGATCAAAAGTCTCATCTTTATATGGGGAAGAGGTAAAATATTTAAAACAAGGATGAGCCCTCTCCAACCTCACTTCCCACTCCCGATAAGAAATTATGTGTCAAGATATTTCCATCTTTCTTTGAATACAGTGCAATCAACAAAACTGAAATGAAAAGAGTGTGGCCAGGGCAGGGATGACTAAAGTAATTCCACTGAACTCATTCAAATTATTCTAACAGCCACTGGGTAAACAGCCCAACTGATTAGTGTTGATTCCTTTGTGATTCAGTTTGCTGAATCACAGGAGTATCCAAAAAAGGATATTGTCTTTTCTAAGAATTATACTTCACATGACCATGAGAACAGTAAATGCATTGGCTCAAGGTACAGATTACATCAAATGGTGTCTACTGAGATCTAAACTGATTCAGAACTACTCAGCTTTGCTAGCCTGCCTCCAAATTCTGTCTCTTCCTTGCAGGATTAGGCATAGTTCACTTTTCCAATTCTGCAGCTTTTTCTTGAACCAGAACCAGGGATATCTTATTGCCAGATAAGGGAGATATAATTTCACTGTCACCCTGCCCTATTTTTAAAAAAATGTCCAAGAATTTTACATGTATTAGATATGACTGAAACGTGAGTCTTGCTCATGTTTTACTCGTATTTGTTTAGAGATGGAAACATGGAAGGAAAAGACCCTAGAATACATAGCATTTTGAGAGAACCTCTATTCACTTGTCTGTCTTCATTTTAGCCTGTATGCTTCTCCAGAGCATGATATGTAATCACATTTGCTACTGAATTCCCAATGCCTTCCTCAGTGCCTGCTACAGCAGTGAACATTTCAGGGTGCCTGTGTCGCTCAGTCAGTTAAGTGTCTGCCTTTGTCTCAGGTCATAATCCTGGGGTCCTGGGATTGAGCTCCACATCAGGCTCTCTGCTCCAGGAGGAGCCTGCTTCCCCCTCCCTCTCCCTCTGCCTGCCGCTCCCCTTGCTTGTGATCTCTGTCAAATGGATAAAATAAAATCTTAAAAAAAAACAGTGAATGTTTCTAGAATACATAAGCTTTGTAAAATAGGAAGAATAGTTAAAAGACCTAGAGATGTTTTGCAGGACAAGACCTAAAGGGGACATAAATCTCAATTAGTTTCTTAAGAGTGGATAACTGGAAGAACAATGTTTTGTTTGTGTTACTATAAATAGCAGAGTCCAGAATCAGGACCAAGAGTTTGTTCATGGAAAAATATTTCTGTTCCAAGGGTCTAATGCTTTTTAAAACTGTCATCAGGGCAGCCCGGGTGGCTCAACGGTTTAGCGCCGCCTTCAGCCCAGGGTGTGATCCTGGAGACCGGGAATCGAGTCCCACGTCAGGCTCCCTTCATGGAGCCTGCTTCTCCCTCTGCCTGTGTCTCTGCCTCTGTATGTGTGTCTCTCGTAAGTAAATAAATAAAATATTAAAAAAAAACTGTCATCAAGATCCATACATCAGCTACATGTGCTAATGCAAATAGAGTATTTTGAGAAAATGGAAAGGCAGTCAGCATTAGAATGTGATTATTATCACTCATTTCAAATAGATCAGGCCATGCATTTTATAGCACTGCAGGTTCATTTGCCCTGTGTAGCTTTCTTTAACCTTCTTCCCAATTGAGAATAAGTAATCTCTGTGTTATGACAGTACTTTTATATCTCTTGCCATAGCACTACCACACTTACATATACTTCGCTTACAATAATTCCAAACCCTTGTTGGAAGGGGGGATGAAAAGGAAACTAAGTGTTAATTGGAGTTATTACTATGTCAGGCATAATACTAGATTTTATTCTTTTTATAGTCTATACTTTCATTTAATTATTATAATAGCTTAATGACATAGGTATTATGTTTCCCAATTTGCAGATGAAAAACTAAAGAGAGGTTAATAGAACCTGACCAGTGCCACTTATATCGAAAGTGCTATTTCCAAGAATCTCAGATCTTCCTGATGGTAGAGTCCAAGCCCTTTTCCACTGCCACACCCAGAGGAATTGGTTCTATAGTAAGACTGACTGGGGTAGATCCCAACCCTTCCACAAGCTGCGTAACTTTTATTAATCTCCACAGTTAACTGAATTGTGAATGAAAATATAATAATGGTACATTCTTCATAGGATTGCTGTGAGGACTAAATAAAATAATACTTATTAATCATTTAGGAGAGTTCCTGGGACATGGTAAAAGTTGAGTGAAGGTTAACTGTTTTGGAGGATGGATAAAAAGTTTTTTTTTTTTAAAGATTGATTCATTCATTCATTCATTCATGCATTCATTCATGCATTCATGACAGACAGACACAGAGAGAGGCAGAGACATAGGCAGAGGGAGAAGAAGGCCCCATGGAGGGAGCCTGATGCAGGACAGGATCCCAGATCCCGGGTTCATGCCCTGAGCAGAAGGCAGATGCTCAACTTCTGAGCCACTCAGGCGTCCCAGTTCTTTTCTTTTCTATCAACAGAACTTAGCATGGTGCCTAAATCCATGCCTACCACCTTAGCAAACCCTTAAAAAAATGATTGCAGAATTTAAGTTTTATACTGAGAGCATAAATAGAATTTTCTGGAAGCTATTTCTCTAGTATTCTCTCAAATGTAAGTGTTTTTTTTGTTTGTTTGTTGTTGTTTTTTGTTTTGTTTTGTTTTGCTTCATAGTTCCTATGGCTCAGGAAATACAATGTGGGTCCCCTACTTCTTGTTATTTGTTGACACTCTCAGTCTTTTTTACCCGTTTGTTTTTTAACATAAGCTTTCAAATGTCAATTAATAAATGTGGAAGGGATGATGAAATTAGAAAAATTTGTGATCATGATAGTAATAACTATTTCAGGCAAGAATCATCAATAGATTCTACAACTAGTCAATAAGGATTTCCATTTCTGCTTAGGATGTAGAAAGTGGCAAGCAAATGTCACTCTCGTAGCAATGAGGAAGGTTAGATAATCTACAAAATCATAAATTTTCTTGAAATCATAAGGGAGCAAGGTTGCAAGGCAAACCAATTCTATTCCAATTAATGGCATGCCCCTCTGAGAAGAGATAGTACTAAAGAACTATTTCATTTCTGACAGAACATGAGGAAACTACTGCTGTCAGCAAATCAGGTAAGAGGCAATCAGCTACAATGTTACACATTCTTAAAGTCAATGAGTAGGATAGCTTATTATTTTAGAGTGATGTGAGAACCTTGACACAAGTAGAATTCACCCTAAACTACAGTTTCTTTTTCACAGGCCTCCAAAGGTGTTCCTACTGAAGACTGGGTGCAGGGCTTCAAGCAGCATGGAAACTGCTGGTGATACCCATGTCCAGGTGTTTAGGTAATAATTAGTTACCACTGAAAGGGAACTACAAATCACCCCTCGCTTCCTCAGATCTATGTCTCATATACAATAAATTCTTAAGCCACTAAGAGAGGGGCAGCAACCCCTCCAACACCTTGAGGCCAGGAAAGGGCCCTCCATTATGTGAAAGTGATGTAAATGTAACTGTTTCTGAGGAAGGTGAGGAAACCCTCCCATCCCCACAGCCAGAGAAAAATCTACTCTTTCTGGAAGAAGGGTAGAATTAAAAGGTGAAAGAAAGCTCCTAGACTGATGGTCCAGGACTGATACAAAGTAGAGGTCAGCTACTACTGAGAGATGGGCCAGAAAGAGTTTCCTGGCCAAGACCTGACATGGATAGCAAAGGACCCATGGGGAAGCAGCGAGCAGGAACACTGAAAAGTTATTTCAAGGCCAGGCATATAGTGCCTGCTTAAGACTGAAACATGAACTTAATAGTTAATCATAGTAGTGACACTCTAATGCTGTGATCTTTTTTCGTACCACTGAATTCACATTGTGACACATTGCCAAGTTTTGAGCCTTCATTCTGACTTTCAAAATTAGACTTACAGAAGTCATACCCAAGGTCTATAATCACACTGACCCACCCTCAATCATCTTATTTACATTGCACTCTATCCCAACCAACTCCAACTCTAACAAGCCTTCTAGATATCCAACATCACATCTTTTGTGATGTCTTTTCTTACCACTCTTGGCTGAATTAGTTTCTCCCTTTACTTTAGAAAATGACAGTGCCTATCACATTGCAGTATGATGTCATTAATTTTATAAAGCTAAGGCTGATCTCAAGCCTAGGATTCTACAGAATTTTTTTTTTTTTTTTATAATAGGCACACAGTGAGAGAGAGAGGCAGAGACATAGGCAGAGGGAGAAGTAGGCTCCATGCACCGGCAGCCCAATGTGGGATTCGATCCCGGGTCTCCAGGATCGCGCCCTGGGCCAAAGGCAGGCGCTAAACCGCTGAGCCACCCAGGAATCCCCGATTCTACAGAATTTAAAAACTATCTCATCATCAAAATCCTCAGAGTTCTTTCTTACTCGTAAATTCTTACCCCCATTGAAGTCATTTAGATCCACACAAAAACTGGGAAATAAAGTAAAAATATATTTATCTTATTAGTGTTTTCACTTTAATTTCACATCTGGTTTTCGTTACTGTATCCAAACAGAAATTAAATTACTTTGTCCAAATAAATAATACCACCACCTTATAGGAGTATGTACTTTTTATATTGGTTGGCTATTGATATTCTATCCAGAAAACTGTCTACTATAGCATGAAAACAAGATATAAGGCTGGAAAGAAAAGTCTAAACAGATTACTTGGAACAAATACACTTGAACAAAAAGCAAAAGTTGTTTGCTCAGACTGCTGGGTATTTTATTTAGACGAATGCTTCACAAACTATCTCTGTTTTGCAAGCTAATAATAGATTTCCCTTGAAATGAATTATTAATTTCCTGAAATGTGTTGGCAAAATGCTGCACAGTGTGAATTATAACACAAATTAACTAAGTTTTTCAGAAGCCCTACTGAAAAAAATCCATTATACTTAAATACCCATTTAAACATACCTCAGATCACTAATAATTTCAGATCTGTCTGGGAAATTCAAATTTTCATAACTCTTCCCAGGTATGTTTTCCCTTTTGTTAATCATTTCTGTCAGTCAGCATTTGCTTGCAGAGTACTGAAGTAGAAAGAAATTTATTGAAGTGTGTTAAATGACCTATAGAATTTGGAGGAAAAATTAAGTAACAAGACATTAGGCTGAATTTCCAACAAAGACGCTGAAGCTACACCACAAAACTGTGTCTCTAAGGGTACCTCTGTTTTTATCATGATAAGGAATACAGCTCCTAAGTCACAAAGCTGCTGCTCCAGACAATCCCATGACCACTCTACTCTGCTGTGATCAACAGCAGCAAAATAAATGCCTCACACCTGGCCTCTTCCCGCCCCCGCCCCCCCCCCCCCGCCACTTAACATAATTTAATTTAAATTCAGTTTTACACTTGTGCATCTGATTGGTGAAATATAAACATATCCAGAGTCTTAGATTCAAGGGAATCTGAAAAATGTGATTTTCAACTTTCCAGACTGTACAATATTTGAAGCTGATTAGAAGAGATGTTGAGAGAATCAATCCACAGTATCCTATTCACCATTTCTGTTTTCTCCTAGCATATATTAATTACATTTAAAGGTAATGAGATTTCCAATTATGCAATAATGAAATAATTATAAAAATATATAAATAGAACTATTTTTATGAAGATTCATGATGGCAGGAACTACATACCTCAATGCCTGTAATAGAATAGCAATCCAAAAAAGGTGTCATTTTAATGAATGAATGAGATTATAGGATTATTTTGACTAATCTCCTTGTTTTCCTGAAGACAAAACTGAGCTCCAAAGAGGTGAAACAATTAGTTCATGCTCTCCAAAATGGAATCCAACCAAAGTTTCCTAGCATTAGTCTGTGGTTATTTTATGGTGCCAAGCTTTGAATATTATAATTCACTATATCAAATAAAGTAATTCACTTTTTTTAAAGGGTTAGAGGGAGACAGCAATGTGTAATCAAAAGGAAACAAACAAAAAAAAACAAAAACAAAAGGAAACAAAGAAATTTTATCAACAAATATTACTAAGCTGTTAAAATATGTAGAATACTATGCTAGGTACTGCAGGAGAACATAAATAACATAATATCCTGCCCTTCAAAAGTATCAACAAAATGAAGTTCTCATGTCGGACTTTCTCTCTGTATATTGTCATACACAGAGGGTTAGAACAAAATTACACATGCAATCCCCAGAGCCACTTTTATACATACTCCAAGCTGGAAGGCCTAGGAATGAAACAAACAGAAATATAGTACATTTAAACCTAAATATATTGATAATTACATTAATTATAAATGGTTCCAACATCTCAACTAAAAGAGATCCCAGTCAGAGATTTTTAGACTTGATAAAGAAAACAAGAATCAACTACATGTCATTAATTATAAATGGTTCCAATATCCAACTAAAAGAGATCCCAGTCAGAGATTTTTAGACTTGATAAAGAAAACAAGAATCAATTACATGTCATCTATAGGAACTCAAATTTAAATATAAAGATAGAATTAGATTAAATGTACAAGGATGAAAAAATATATACCATGGAAACACTAATCAAGAGAAAACCAGAATGGCTATGCTAATATCAGACAAAGCAGATATTAGAATGAGCAATATTACTAGGGATAAATAGAAACATTTCATAATGAAAAATGGATCAATTCATGAAGATGCATTATAATCCTAATGTGTAAGTACATTACAAAGCAAAAACTGAGAACTGAAAGGAAAAACAGGCATATCCATAATTATAATGTAGACTTGAACTCTTAGTGATTGACAGGACAAGTAAACTGAGAATCAGTAAGAGTATAGAAGATTAGAATGACGTTATTGATCAACACAACATAACTGACATTTATAAACAATACACTCCCAAAAAGCAAAATATACATTTTTCTCAAGTACACATGAAAGAATCATCAAGTTATAGCATGTGCTAAGCTAAAACAAATCTTAGCAAATTTTAAAAGATTCCAATTATTCCTAATGTGTTCTGGGAACACAAAGAATTAAACCAGAATTAACAAAATGTTATCTAGAAAATTCAGAAATATTTGAAAATTAAATAATATACTTCTAAATAATCTATGGGTCAAAGAGGTATTTCCAGAAGGAGATTATGAGATATTTTAAAATAGATTTTAAAAATAACAATATAACATGTCATTGTTAATGTGAAGGTGCTCAAATAGTGCTTCAATGAAAATCTATATCATAAGTGCTTATATTAAGAACAGTTGTCTCATATTAATGGTCTAAATTTCAGCCTTAAAATTTTTTAGACAAGAAGAGCAGATTAAATCCAAAGTGAAGCATGGAAACAAATTACGGGAACAAGTAGAAATCATTATATTGAAATAGAGAAAACAGTAGAGAAAACCAGTGAAACTAACAGCTGCTTCTTGTCAAAGTTTCAATCAATTTGATAAAACTCTAGCCAGACTGTGCAAAAACAAGAAACAGCACAATTTACCAATATCAGAAAGGAAAGAAGAGCCATAACTACAGATTATTGACATTAAAAGATAATAAGGGACTATTTTGAACAGTTTCACGCCATAAATTCAAAAACCTAGATTAAATGAAGAAATCCCTTGAGAGAAAAAAGTAACAAAGTTAACTCACAAAGAAATAAATAACCTAGATAGTCATATATCTAGTTCACAGTCTTTGTCTTAAGCCTATTGAATTTTGTCAAATATCTTTTCTGCACTTAATGAAATGACCATATAGCTTTTATTGTTTTAGTCTGATGAGACTATAAAAATGCATATTGTTTTTGAAATGAACCAATCTTGAATTACTAAAGTAAATCCCACTTGGTCATGAAATAGTGTTCTCTTAAAAACTACAATTCTGATTTGATTTGTCAGATTTTTTACATTCTTTTTCTCCTTATGTTTATGAGGGATATTAGCATACAGTTTGGGGGAGTTTTTTAAGTGTATTTCGATTTGCTACCAATGGATAATCCTGGCTTCATAAAATCACTTGGGAAGTGTTATCTTCTGTATTAACTTTGGAATTTCAAGATAAATATGAAGAAAACCCCACTGTCACAATTTATAGCCAAATTGCCAAAAAAACAAAGAGAAAGGGAAAATATTGAAGCCAGAGTAAAAAGAAGCATTATACAAATGTGAATAGACTTCTCTTCCAAAACTCTGCCAACCATTAGACAATGATATGCTTATCTAATATACAGAAAGAAAACAAACCCCACTCAGAATTATGCCCGGTGAAAGCATTTTACAAATAGGAAAGCAAGGTACTTTTTCAGACAACAAAAGCTAAATTACTTCCAGTCGATTTGCATGAAAATACATGTTAAAGACAGTTCTTTTGATAGAGGAAGTATGATGCCAAATAGGCTTTTGAATCCACACACACACACACACACACACACACACACACCACAAAAGAAGGAAGAAGAGGAGGAAGGAGGAAGAGGCAGCAGCAGCAGCTGGACATGGTAACAATGTGGGTGAATATAACAGACTTTAATTTTTTAATCCCTTTAAAATAAAATAAATTTGACTATATTTATCCTGCTTCATGAGTATCTCTGAGGCTTCTGGAAATGTGACTTATTGTATTTCCTTATATTTGAAAAAGTCTTGGCCCTTAACTCTCCAAATATTTCTTCTGCTACATTGTTTTTCTTCTTCCTAAAATTCTAATTATGGTATATTAAGCCATGTGGTTTTGTTTTACAACTTAGATGCTTGTTTGCTTTTTGACTCTTTTTTCCTCTTTGTGTTTTAGTTTGTATAATTTTTATTGAACTATCTTCAAATTTACTGATTCTTTCCACTGCTGTGTCGCTTCTGCTGAAGCGAAGTTTGAAGTGTTGAATGTTGAAGTAATTTCTAACGTTGAAGTAATTTCTTCCTATATTTTTTCTAACATTTCCATTTGAATCTTTTTGTATTTTACTTATTTATCCTAAAATCCCCCCATCTTTTCATGCATGCTGCCATCTTTTTCACTACTAAATTTCTTTAACAGATTAAATGCAGTTATTTTAAGCTCCCTGCCTGAAAGTCAGTATCTGGGCCATCTCCAATTTTGGTTCTATTCAAGCTTTTATTTCTTGAAATAGGTCTTGTTTGTGTGTCTTATAATGTTTAAATAAATCCAGACACTCCGAGTGGACTGTCAATTAAAGCTAAGTAAATAAAATTTATGCCTGTCGATGGGCAGGCTTTTTTTCTGTCAGACAATTTGAGGGGAAAAGTTGAGTAAATCTAATCTGTAGCTGAGCTGGGTTTGAGTTTCCTCTAGTGGTGTGGCAGTATTACCTTAAAGTTAACGTAAATTCCAGAGTGCTAGAGTTCTTCCTGTTCCACCCTGGCTTTCTGTGAGCTTGCACACCTATGACACGTGGGTGGTTTCTCTCTGTGCTTTTGCCCCCCACCCCCTTGGTAAAAGATTGCTAAAGTTGCTACTTATGGTAAGAGCAGTGCTTTTTTGGTTCTCCTGCTTTAACCTCAACCTTAGGTAGACCCACACACAAGGGCCTCAGTGGTACAATTTTTCAGGGCTCCTTGCTCTTCCCAAGTGGTTGCCAATCACCACCTTGTGTACATACAGAACCTATAATATACACAGGGGAATTCTCAAAGTTCTCCTCCACCCATACACCTAGGAAGATCCAGTATGTCTATGCCACTAACAGGTCTCTTTCAGGTCCTGCTCTGTCCCCAGTCTTCCTCATGACTACCTGGTAGATGTACAGAGAAAAGAGCTGATGAGAGAATGGATTTTCTTGCCTGAGACTCCCAGGAATAATAAACTGTCATGGTTGTCCACACCCAGTCTTTAAGAACTTATTAAAATATCTGTTATATTCTTATACCCACTTTTATTGTAATTATGTTGTCATCTTTTTTTGGGGGGGGAATTCATTATTTCAAAATAATGAAAGCATATGGTTTAACATCTATGAAATGCATTAAACATAACAAAGATACAATCTTATATTGCTTCATTCATGACATTTAAATATCAGGAAAGATGTATTTATACCAATTTTCTAAATGAAGCAGCTGTAAAAAACTGACAAAAATTATCACCATATAACTAACAAATGGTGAATCCAGTTCTCACTATTCAGACTTACTTTGAGCTTTATGTACCTACTGTCACAGAAGCCTTCTTCCCAAATATTTACAGA